ACTATTTTCAAGGAATTATTTCGTTACTTTTTAGTGTACTGTTTTTTTTGAGAATGTTTTGTTTTTGGTGTATTTTGTTTTGTTTTTAGTGTATTTTGTTTGGAAGTCGGTTTTTTAAGAATATTTTTTGTTTATTATGTTAGGTAGTCGGATTTGTTTTTTTTTTTTGGACTTTTTACTCATTTTTATTGAATCTGAATATTGCAATACTCAAATTAAAGTTCAACTACATAATTACTAAAGATTTGTTCAGTTTTAACTGGTATGGAAGAAAATATACTAAGACCCTCCGTAGGTAAAATGGCAAGCTGATAATAAAATCGGTCAAAATACTGCTCTGGTAAAACAAGTCCTAACGGAAAATGTTTTGGATGTTTTGAAAAATAAATTTCTCACAAATATTTCGAACTTTCTTATTCACAGCTAAAACATTAATCTAGTGTTTATCAAAGTTCAAAGCTTCGTTTAATTAAAGTAAGGAAAGTAATCGGGACGTTCAATGAGGAAATAAGGAGGGAATATTAATAATTTAATGGGAATCGTTCGCAATCGAATCTGGAATAAATTTAAAATCAATTAGTGAAGTCATAAATGTAAATTGACTTCTCTTGTTTGGCTGCCCGAGCTGAAATTCACATTTACAATTATTTGACATTTAAGTTATGAAATGTAGGATTCAGTTAAATCTATACTTTATTTTAAGAAGCTTCCCTAAGCAATCATGAAAAAAATAGACTTTCACGTAACTTACATAATATATTCATGTATGCTTTTTACGAGAATATATTAAAGAACTAAATATTTTAGTCAAGCAAAAATGTGTGTTATGGTAGTTTAAAATAGTTACAGTTTTTAAAAATTCAACTTTAAAAAAAAATATTATTTTCTCTTTTATGTTTGCTTTACGAGATATTTCCAAATATTCACTCGAATGTTTACCGGAAATTGCTTATCGAGGATATTTCTCGATTTTCAACAGAAAGGCTTTAATATTCAGAATAAAATTCGAGTACATAAAGTTATTGCTAAATTTTACCGACGATTTCCGTAAACCAAATCTTAGATTTAGTTTAGTTCATATTTGTATAAGAGAGTCGAAAAATGTAAAATAGATATTGAAAAATTTTTTGAAGACCTTATTAATGGTCGTTGCTCTCTACAACTTAAATATAACTTTCAAATTAAACTACTTGCAACCGACATAAATAGTGAACTAAGCAGAAGTAACCTTAGTCCTTAATTGAAGACAGAAAAGCATTGTTCGGAATCTGTGTACATTGCTACTCAAGAGACCGTTAAGTTAGTAGTATTATTTAGATAATGGGACTACAAAATTGTCTAATGTCAACATAATTGTAACATTTTAACTTCTGTTAATATTATCAGTACCACTCCAGGTAAGCCTTCAATCTTGCATTAAGATACAATTCTCAACTATACCCGAAAGGCAGATTAGAATTCACGACCTCGCGATTACTACTCCGTTCCTTTAACTATTAGGTTTTAGGGTCTACAAAATATATGTACTGCCTGTACTGATCTTTTATTTTATCCAAATTACCATATAAAATTTGACATATCCAAATCAGAAATGCTATTTTATTTTTACCGAAAATACATCCGGAAGTAAATGGAATCTGGGTCAAGCGGTCACCATAAACTTGATAGGTTGAAACGTAGGAAGATCTCTCGGGAGCGTGTCCTGTCCCTAAGCCAATGTCAACTGTTTCGTTATTAATGCAGACATATCCCGCTACTGCGACCACTTATCCCTAAACTGGTGAAAGTATTAATATTTATAAGGGGTAAGCAGAGATTGAACATAAATATAATCTAGTGTTACAGTCGAATTCAACAGGAATGTGAATATTTACACATTTCACTGCCTGACAATGTGACTATTTTCCTAACGTGTTTAAATTGATGTTCCAATTGGCTGTCATCACAGCCTTGAAGATAAAAATATTTCGTTTGTCAGCACAGAAAACAGAAATACACGTAGGACAAACATAAGTTTTTCCCTTCTCATAAAACAAAGAGAGGGTAATAATAGAAAGAATTTTATTTTTAAAAATTTAAATCCTCTCTCCTCCTCTCCTCTTTCGAAAAAAGCAACACTTAATATAGATATGTACAAACATCGATCATAAAACACCGGACCTGGTCTTTTATAAAAAAAAAATTGTAATAAAACAGAAAAAATGTTATCAAAGGATGTTGGGGTGATGGAAAATGTTTCATAATTAAAATAGCGCGCGTTAATATCCTGACGAATATTTGCCAACAGTTGCTATCAAAGTGCCGTTCTCATCATGCATGTTAATTTATTGGCAAAGCTTTGATGTTACAAACTCGCCAACTGAGGATACCAAAACGTAATGTGAAGGCCGTTATTCTAACATCAAACTTTCCTCTACGTTGTTAGATTTACATAGGATTTTAATACAAATACATTTACACTCTAAAACGTACCTTTATAATTATAATATTGAGCTGTTAGAATTTAGTATGTTAGATAACAAACGAATATAATTAAAGATCCAATTTTAGTCGCCTCTCGCTTCCTACCTTTTTCTATGCGTGCTTATTTTATTAATTAAAGATAGGAAAATAATCTTGAATAGTGGATGTCTATGGACGGAGATCGCTTCGCCATTTCAGCGAGTTCCAGTCGCTTGCTCCTGTCACCTTATGATAGGAAAAAAATAGTATAATAAGTATACCTAGAATAGAACAAAGATTCAGTGCATTAATTCAAAAGTTTATCATTTCTTTAATTGCAATAATAATATATCAAATCAAGTAAAATTATTAAAGTTAATAAAGTGTGGATTGTGGAAGTGAGTAGGAATTTATGACTTCCTGAAAGTTGGCCCCGGACTCGGGAGTATCGCGATTGTAAATTTTACTAATATTGCCCCGGAGACTTGTTACAACCGAGTTATTTAAACTTGTTATATCTAAGTGATAAGATAGAAACATCTTTTCTATTTTATTTACTAGAACATACAAGAAAACATACATCTAAACATATAAATTTGGCTTACAAAAGAGTTTTTATTAAAAGAATAATCAAAAACCTAAGAAGTACAGTTACAAGTAATTTCATTAATAAAATACACTGTGCTTCGAAAACTCCGTGTTTCTGGCATTATTGATCATTAAGATTTCCAACAGGGATACTGTTTTGGCAGGAAGACCATTCGATATTGCCAAGACATCTATTGTACCGGACGAAACAATTGATCTAAAGACAAAGTATTCTGCTAAAGACACGCTTTAGGAACGAAGTATTACTCAGAATTTTCACCTTAATGGATATACAAGTTGTTTAAAGCATGTCAAACCTTCTCAAATCATTCTAATTCTTCCGTGCCAGTGTTCATTATCGGTCCCTTCTCAAAATAACAGATGTCATTATAATTATTCCGTATAATTTTTTCCACTAATCAATATATCAGGACTGAAATAGACACGTCGTTTGACGAACGGTGTGTGATATTTCATTCTTTATTTATTGTCTATAATCAAAACATTTATCTTCCATATTAATTAATTCATAAAACGTTTCTTAAAATTTCTTATGAGCTTGCTTATAACGAAACTAGATTATTTTACTTTCAATCTCTTTAAAATGTAATTTTAATATTTGTAATAATTTATTTACTTTATGTAACAATGATTACATATATCAGAATTATTTTAAAATTTCATTTACAATGCAAAAGACACAATAAACGAATTAAACGAAAAATGAACTTGCGCTGGCCCTGAATAGAAAGGCAGCAAAACGTCAGCGTTGATTTTGTGTATTATATTATAAGATTCAATCATTAAAGTGTGCCATTCGACTGACCGAACAGTGGTTGAACTCGCACTCGTATACAAGCCTATACATTAAATTCTGTCCTGCACAACGACTTGTATGAAATTTGAAGCTAACATAAAGTTTGAATGTTTTTATATTTTATACGACCGACACCTAAATAAATATGTAATTAAGTGAAATGATAAAGAATACGCCATGTTAATTACTTAATTAAACACACGCGTTAAAATAGCAGAGCATTCCATAACGTATGTGCATACCACAGAGGCAACTGAGTAAAATGAACTTCTTAATTTCAATTTATTTGTGTTGCTTGTTTTTATACTGGCATGTGAATTCCCAAGATTTAACAGCTCCGGAATATAGAAAATGTAAAAAAACTGTCATGTCTCTATAAACATATTTTTTACTCACTGTTTAATTTACTTTGTGATTTCTTACAGATCCAGAATGCCTTCTAGCTGAAGATTCTGGCTTTTGTACACCTGTCACCAGGTAAAGTTATGAGTTTCTGTTACCCACCAATGGTAAATTTAATTAATTTTATATCGGACAAAGTATATAGTATGTCATTTCATTTTTAACTCAATGTTAACAGTTTAAAGTGTTTTAAAATTGTTAAATAGCTCCTACATAATGTTCATTTCAAATACGAGTACTTTATCTTTACTCCAACACAATTTTACAAATAGCTGATTTATTACTGATTGATAAAATGATAATGTTTTTCGAGAGTATGAAAGCGTTTTTATCGTTTTGGCTTAATAAGACATCATGTACCCTGAAAGGCAAATGATATTTCGTTCGATTCCTTTTTACCCCCGAGTCCTGAGCTAGCCAGTGAAGTTTGTTGTTGCCTTTAATTCCCGACAAATTTTACATGTATTTTCATATTACTGCAGATACGGTGTGGTACTTCCAACCGAGGCGAACCGAGACGAACCGGGCACTTGCACTAATTTCTCTTATTACGGCGAAGGCGGTACCAGGGGCTTCGCTTCCTTCCAAGACTGCGTCTATGCCTGCACTAAGGGACCTTTAACTGATCTTATACAAGTCGGAAAATAAAAAGTGATTGTCTTGAGTTTTTCCTATTATATGGTTTAATAATATCTTTGTTTTATTCTATATGCCCAATTGTACCTATTTCCTTTTTCTTTCTTCTGTTGTAGAGTCCTGTCCCATCCATTGTCATGTCCATTCGATTAGCAATATCACTAATCAATAACATTTAGCAATGATATATCCGAATAGATCCGGCCTTAAAATTTTGGCAAGAACGGTAAGACTCGCCCAGTGAAATACTACGACTACACAGATGATAGGCGCGAAGTGGAAGAGATTCCGCATTTCGTCTAATGAATGTGCGTGTATCCTAATTTTACTCCCTTTCCCTTCTCATTCTTATTAACGAAGGATGGGAAATGAAAGTTAATTTGACTATTTAGACGCATAGAAAGTAGAAATACCCTCTATCTGTGCGTCTCCTCCTCGGTTAAAGGTAGACAACGCATCTGCCATTGCGGATGTCTATGGTCAGTGGTCGCTTTACTTTTTAAAAAATGCACAATAGAGTTATAATAACTATTCGCTTTATGAAAATTTGAAGAAACATTACTCATTACGCAGCAATTTATTATTTGTACCTCTAACGTACAATATTTATACAGTTGTTTCCGTTAACTTAGCTAACTTTGAATATTAATATTACAATTTACATTAACTAATTAACATAATAAAGTATTGCGTATTTATTTTACACATTCTCCAAAATACATTTGATCAAACTTCTAGAAGACGTCATTGAAAAGAGTAATGTTCATTCCAGAATGTTCTGACAGTTTAAACAATTCTAAAGTAACGAATTGTCTTTTTGATATTTGCGAAATCGACTAAGAATTAAAGTCACTCTCACAAGCCAGAATAATTCTACAGCTGTCTAACTCTCCATTAATAGACCGATGCAACGAAAAGTTACTGAAGGGATTTAACTTTTCATAGCATTGGTTGAAATATGACACTCTGAAAAATTGTGTTTTGTGACTTTGCCTGCGTGAAACACATAAAATACCAAATATATAGTCTATGTTACTCAGTGATAACATAGCTTTTTAATAAAAATTTTGAAATCAATCCAGTAGTTTTTGAGTTACAATACAAACAAAAATGTAAAATCTTTCCTCTTTATAATATTAGTATAGATATACTCGTAGATAGAGGCAAAATTGATGAAAAATTAAATGTAAGAAATCATAATGAATCCTTTGAAAAAAGTCAATCTTACTAATATTATAAATGCGAAAGTTTAGATGGATGGATGGATGGAAGGATGTTTGTTAGAATGTGTAGCCTAAACGGCTGATATTTAGCATAGACGTAGAGGATAGTCTGGAAGAACACAAGGTGTACTAACTTTTGGTTTCTTCAAACACCACGCGGACGGAGTCGCGGGTAAAAGCAAGTATCTCTAGTTTATACGGTTTCCTCACAGTAACTACTTTCTGCCTTATATTATCGACTAGCTGTTCCCGTGCGACTTCATCCGCATAAAATTATGAAAATATTGTTTTATTGTTTACATTTGTCAAATTATCAATTGCAAATGTCAAAATGACATGACATGACAAACTATGACAACATTGCTGCCTTGATGTTGGCAGCAACTTATGGTCTCTTTCCCACATGAGTGTTTTTATTCAAAATATTTACCCCCTAAGTTTAATGGCGTGAAAATGTATAGCCTAAAGCATGACGTAAGTGTAAGGCGTTTTATAAAAAAATAATCATTCGAAAATATGATGTAATTGCTGACATCTTAGGCAATAAAGAAGTGTGTGTTTACGCTTTATTATAATAGTATAGATTATAAATGACTTTTGAACAATTTAAGATGAAATTAGATAAATTTTCTAAGTATCACAAAACATAGCAAAGATAAAAATACTATGAAAAATATTTTTAATGTTTTCTTTTATTCAGCTGTGCCAACATTAAGCCCACTTTCAATATCTTCTTATTTAACCTAATTACATATTTATTGAGTCACGATTAGCGACACAAGTTTTTAATAAATTACATGTGTCAATTACTCATGTAATCGTTAACTAAAACAATTTTATTTATTTGTAATCTATACAAAATACAATGTAGCAAGGCGTTAAGAAAAAAGACTTTTCTTAATGTTCACATGTAGAGTAATGTCACAATTTCACCGAACGCAAGTTTACCGATGATTCCCCCTTCCACTAACACTGTGTCCCCCAATCGTATACTCAATACTGTCTGTTAATACGTGACGTCATGTGGCCATCGGCAAAGATGAGCACGAGTAAAAGGTACATTTTTAGATAACAAATGATGGAATTTCGGTAACATCTATCGTGGCTTCATATAGCCTTAACTACTCGTTATTTTCATACAACTACATTTAATTCGATATATTTTATTCTATTTGTACACTAGGTATTACGATATTCATTTCAAATTTCACAGCATCGTATAATTTTTTCAAATATCATTATTATAAATTTGTTTCCTTACTATTTAGTGCGCGACTGTACTCACTAACATACGTATGTAAGTCACA